CCGGGGATACCGACTGGAAACGGGTGCGCACTATACTGTCGCCCGCTTTCTCGTCGGGCAAACTCCGGGCGATGTTGTCTCACATCGAGTCCATTGGCGACCGCTTTGTCCACACTTTGGCCCCATTCGCCAAAACTGGTAATTATATTGATGTTTATGTTTATAAAATATAACTTAAAAATTAGAGGTTTGAAATTAATTATAAAAGTGACTAAAAAAATTTGCGTTTAATTTCATGAATTAAGCTATTTACATTTTTTTTATTTAAACACGTTAAATTATATTATTTATTTAAAATTAAGAGACATTATTTAAAATTAATGGATTAAAATAATTCAGATGATTATTATTTGTATACTAAAATTTTTAATATATATATAATGCAACCTATGTGAAACTTTACAACATTTAAAAACTATAAGTAACAAGCAGATAAAATTGTATAAAAAATCAATAATAATACTTGATATAATGAGAAATATAATAATTTATAATATTGGAGATTAAAAGATTAAGGATTTAGTTAAAAAAAATTTTGTTACTTACTATTAACCTAGGTGAAACAGTGGATATACGTAAATACGTGGGTGCTTTTGCCATGGATGTTATCAGCGCCTGTGCCTATGGTATAAACATCTCATCCATTGATAATCCCAATCACCCGATGGTTATGAATGTGAAGCGAATACTGTCCACAGATGTTAGCGTAGGGTTAATGTTGTCGATTATAACCCCGGGTTTGGCGCGACTACTAAGGGCTGAACCCTTTGACCGCAAAGCTCTACAATATTTCGATGAATTGACGGAACAGATACTGACTGAACGGAAAAAGTTTAACAAATATTCAAAATCAGGTAAATAATGAAAATATTATTAACTAAACATAAATTAATTAATAAATTTACGGGTTTATAAGGGGAGTTTTAAAAGTATTTAATTTATTAACAATTTAATATTTGAATAAACTTTATTTAAATATAATCTAAAATAATAATAAGTTAGAAAACTACATTTTAAAAATACGGAGTGTATTATGACTAGTCACTTACTTTTACTGTACTTTTATAAAATATAATAATTAAAAAAATTTTCATGAATAGCAAAACAAACAGATTTCATACAATTGATGATAGACTCGGAAAAGTTGGACAAAGACTTCGGATACGACTCTATCAGTGATGGGGAACCGGAGTCTGAGTCCAAAGAAACGGGAATAAAATCCACTAAAAAGTCTGTCGGAAAACTAAGTTACGATGAGATGGTGGCCCAAGGGATACTGTTTTTTATCGCCGGCTACGATACCACCAGTGCCTCCATAACCCACGCTATATACTACTTATCCCAACACCCGAAGTGTCAACAGAAACTGTACGAAGAGTTGAAAACATGCGATGAGTTTACGTACGAAAAGTTGGTTCACTTGAAGTACTTGAATGCAGTCATCAATGAGACCCTACGTATGGCCCCACCATTCCTACGGGTATTTCGGGACTGCGTTCAGGACTATACACTTGGAAATACAGGTTATTATTTAAAAAC